GTGGAGGTGGATAACCATCCTGCCACGCTCCTGGTGGCACCGGAGAAATACGGGAGATCACATATTCCATGTTTCCAGAGTACCGCTTTGTTTGAGAATTTGGCTCCCAGGAAGGAGGTGGAGGAGTAGTCCCCCTTGGAGGGGGTGTCTGCCCCCGAGGAGGCGGAGGAGGAGGAGTGACACTCCTTATCTGCGGTAGAGGAGGGGGATTCACTCTCTGTCCATTGGCAGGATGAGCCTGAGCAAACGCCGCAATGCCAGATCCAGATAAGGGCCTTCCTACGTCAGGCTGCGAGCTGGGGCTTTCGGAGCGATAAACCACGGCCTCTGCCAGGGAAGGGCCGTGCCGCTGAGGAACCAGGGACTCCTTCGACCCCTTCCAGCTCTGCTTGCGGTTAACTGACTGCTGGACAGCCCCTGCTCCCACGAGAAGAAAACACAGCATTTACATTATTGGAAATTATTCCTATTTACTGCTTTGAATGTTTTGTTCTTCTGTGTTAATTACTAGAGAAACAGGACTTGAACTCTCTGACACAATACAATATAATCCACTGTACTTCCTTATGAAAACTTTTTCTAGTAATACACAGCACTGCATGCTAATACGCTCAGTGTACATTTTAGAGGAAAAAAACCCCACACTGAAACTACAAAAATGTAATACCAGAAAGTGATTTTTTAGAAATCACTTTTCTGAAAATGCATTTTGCTTCAGTAAAAATGTAAAAGTTAATTGAAAAAAATGGTAGCGTGCAAATTAGTAGTCACATAATGTATTTTTAATCATGTGTGCAAGAAACTCTCAGAATGTTCAGCACAAGTATTAAAAAAGTAATAGCAAGGAAAAATACATTATTATAATACATGTTGCTATCCTTTTCAGTTAACACTTGCAAAACACTTAGCATTCTTTAACTAAAATTTAACTGAATGCTGTAAAATCATGGCTTGCACCCTTACATGCATACAGACCACCCAGACTTGTTACATTCCCATGAGGCAGAATTTGACTAAGTACTTTAATTTTAAAAGTTGTATCTTTTTGAGTAAAAGTGTTGTAGATAGAGAGGCAAGAATTAGAACTGTATGAATGCAAAATTTACAGAGCAAAACCCTGCTATATATTTACTTTGCAGATGCTATTTTGCATCATATAAACAAAATACACAAGGAACTGATGATACAGGCAATCTTACTGTGTTTTTTATAATGTTAACATTAAAATATGTGTAAACAGATGCAGTACTTTAACTGCTGAAAATCACCCTGTTCTCACTTAAAGAACATGTTAATTACTGTATTTTTGCAGGTAACAATGAAAACTATGTCTAAATGGTGGAATTTACCTCTGAACTTCATACAAGAACCAACTAATCCTGCTTAACACACAAAAGGAAAATTACACTGTTCTTTGCAACTCCTCACTAATTTTTCCTCCTACCTATACTGTTGATTTAAAACCTAACTCCAGTGCTAGCAACTTAGCACCCAACTTTAGTCAAATAAAAGTTCAGTATTTCTGCTGCATTTTAAAGTTACTCTTTTCTTAGGTGTATGCTACTAAAAAGGCATCAAGTTATATTAAAAATGTGCTAGCATCTGTTTAGAAAGCAATAATAGCAAGTGGCAAAATTCTGACTCTGCTAATAAAGACACATTCTATCCTCCAAAATCTCTAAGAACATGAAGCTTGCCTTAAAAACTATAGAAACAAAAGCTGGAACCAAGCAGGAAATTAATTAGAGAGCGATCCTGAAACATCACATCCTAAAATACAAATATCGTAGTTACATGGTATGTAAATACACACACAAATACATAAACAAAAATACACATACAGAATGCTGTTGTGTGGGAGTGTGTGTGAAGAGAGGCAAAAAATTTAAAGAAGAATTCATGCTCAGCACTTATTTCTACGTGGTGCTTGACACAGAACAAAACACAGGCACCACATCAGCAAGGTAAGAGAAATTACCAAAACGAAATCTGAATGCCATTCCTTGTATAAAATGTTTATGCACAGTAATAAAACCATGCAGTTACAAAACAATGCTTAAGAAAATCATGTCAAATGGACCTGTCTTTCAGAAGGATTACATCAGATATACAAAATGCTCTTTTTAAAAGCAAAAAAAACTGTATCTGAGCATTTTTGTTCTACTGTGAGCACGTGAAAACAAAATTTACTATGTTCTATGTTTCACCTATAAGAATACACTCAGTGAGTTACTGAGTCACCATGGATACACCTACCTGGTGGTTTCATACCTGCGTTTACAGGTCTTGCTGCTGCTGCAACCATCTGCTCCCGACGAGGATCCTGGTAGCTCATTTTACTTATAAATTCAATGGCAGCCTCTATACTACGGTTGTTAGTTTGTCTAAGAGCTTGTATAACCATATCCTAAAGAGAAAATTACATACAAAAAATTGTTTACAAGAAAATCACAAAAAATACCAAAAATCATGGTTATTTAGCCAAATATCCTCCATTAATTTTACTAAGATGATTTTACAAAGTATAAATTTCTCTCAATTGTTTTAGAAATAATTTTAAAATGTCTTCTCCAGAAGACATCATCCGAAATAGTACTGCAATCTGGATGTTCAGAAGAAAAGTTAACCAGTTGAAGCACTGCAGTCCGATGTAAATTATGTCATCTTGCTATTCCTAGAACAGTTTGGTCATACAACCCTTAAAAAAGAACTTTATAATAAAAAGCCCTGTACAATAAAGTTGTCGCAATCTTTACGGACCAGCTGATATTAGAAAAAGTAGACATAGCATTTTCAGCTCAAAAATTTGGTCACCTATGTGATATGAAGTAGTCAATGTCTTAAAGAGTATCACTATACACAGAACATATGATGATTTAACTTGAACCATAGTAAGAAAAAGAGGTTTTCTGTAAGATATTTAGGATAAAAAAGCCTCCAATACAATGAACACTATTCTACCCTGATTATTATACATACATACATAAAACTATCTATATACACACACCTGATACTTATTGATATCTGTCTGTTCCACTTTACCCCTTAATGCTGCCTATTACCTGAGAGGTGGGGGGAAATAACAAGAACATTGGCTGATATTTCATTTGGAAAAAAAAAATTCAATACAGTCTGAAACTTCTTGACCAAGAGAAATGCTTTCCTATTTCAGCTGTATCTGTTCCTAGGGCGTATGTGGATCAGTGCCATATGGGCTATTGTGGCAACAAACTGTAGGTTAACACATGGCAGAAAGGGCTTATGCTGGCACTGTGCCTGAAAAAACCCCCATATAATCACAAATGTCATGGGAATTTGCAGTTTTATCCAAGAACAAAGGGTAGAAGCAAAAGGCTTCAAGATAGAAAGGATCCAACACAAATACCAACTTAAGATACCTTTCTAATTTATTGTCCAGCCACATACCACAACCTTCAGTTTGCAAAACCAGCTGCAGGTTCAAATCTGTAAAAATGGAGCTGAGAACCAATCTACTTTGAAAAAACAAATGCACACCCCTCTTTGCCCCAAAATCCCACACAACAACAATGAAAATACTTCCTCAAACCCAGCAATGAATCACAGAGCTGGAGCAAATTATTACAGAAATCATTCATCATAATAAAATCCTTCCATTCCTCCTGACACACAGTCTGGACTGTGTATTTGATCAAGTGAAAGGAACATGAAAAGCCACTATCAGCACTTGACACTGGGATGCTGTTGAAGAAAATCCAATTGGTAGTTTTGGAGAAGCTCACTCTTGGTAGAGGTAGATCTCTGTAAATACCAAAGCATCACAGAGAGCAGAACTCATGAGCTGGTCACTATTGCAAGCAGTGCATGCCTGAAAAGTTAATCCGTGTTGTGGTACTGTGCCTTTTTCCTTTGGAAAGACGAGTGGTTTGCTAGCTCTTTTTTAAACATGCTTTTGTACCCAGGTTTACAAAGAAGGCATGAAAAAAAGTGTGATTTATATTATGTGCAGGTCCCAGTAAAAACACAGGAGCTGTAAGTGCACTCATTTTTCCTTTCTGGAAACCATATTTCAGAGTAATTTCCAAAATATTTGGTATTGCCTTTCAATTTAGAACGGCCATTATTTCATCAACCTATTTTAATTGAGCACAATCCAAAGTTACTTTGAGTATCAGAGACAAAATCCATGTTCTAGAGAGTCCAGTCCTCTCTGCCTAAAATTATATAAATAATTAAAACAACCTACCACATAAGAACAATCTGGACAAGATGCTTTAAAAAACAAAGCCAAGTCTCGCTAAATCCTTCTAGACTTCTTCTACATCTCCCACTATTACCAGTTTCATGTCCTAATCAGAAACCTAACAGATTTTGAAGCTTTTTGCTTATCATGTTGTTCAAACATTCCCTGACCAACACCCCAACATGCATTAATAGTTTATAGCTAGCAGAACACCATATCTTCAAAATAAAACACTTCACCTCATCAAAGCCAGCAGCTTGCAAGTCTTGCAGCATTTGTCGATTAACTTCTGACGTTCCTTTGACAGCTGAGGTTGTTTCATTTGCAAAAGGCAGAAGTGAGTTTCTTATCTCCTGCAAAACCTTATGATATGTTACAAATTTGGGGGGATTTCGGCCTTGTCTAGGATCTTCAGGTAACATCTTGCCCATGCTGTGCTCAGCTTTAGCAGCATCTGAGGGTTTAGGCAAATTCCTGAGGCTCTCTCGTATTTCCTGTAGCATCTGCTGGCTGCTGCCAGTATAATTACTGGCAGGAAAAGTTTTAGGCCTCATTTGTCTATAACCTTCTGGCTTCTCACTTCTCTTCATGAAAACATGTATATATGCAACCTCCACCAAGGACTCGCACACACCAGAATTCAAGGAAGACTGGCTGATGTCAGAACTTTTGAAAGCAGTGGCTCTTCAGTGTGAAACCTTGGTTCCTGTAGTGCTGGAGTTTGTCACAACCCAAAACTGCTATTCTGTTAACAAAACAAAACAAAGCACATTTAACAGAGCAGTAAAAAAATTCACAATGTAGCACTGGAGCAGTGAAACGTTCACTGCCTTCACAGATACCAAAAGCATGCTAAGCGAATTCTTCAGGCAGTCTTTACTCAAACTGATTTACAAACCATGTTGGGTTTTTAACTGTCTGTTAACAACTAATGTTTTAGGTGCCTCAAGTCTAAACGGTCCTGAATTGCAAAGGATGTGGGCATAGTGAAGAGCTCCGTGTGGTGGACAAAGCTTTCCAGAGCAGATATGAATCACTGGTGTGTGCCAGCACTGCTTCTTTGCCTTCCTCCTCTCCTGTGTCCATTTGTCACCAATGTTCTCCCTATCAACACCTTTGTAGCCAGAAGAGACAACTCTTCTACTCAGGATATGGATCAAATAACCTTGCTGTTCAATGATTCTAACATCCAGCTCCAGCAAAAGAGGGGAGTGAGAAGTACACCAGTAAGAGCACGTAATTACAGTGATTTTATCCGTTCTCTAGCAGTCACATTTGTTAAAATTAAACACTAGCCTGGCTCATCACATGCAACTTTATGACTTCTTGTATCATCTGCCATTTTCATCTGCTTAAGGGTTCAGTTTCTGAGACTTTCACAGTCTGTTAGCTCAGTCTCCTTGAACCAGTCTTCATCAATAGTTAAGTAATTTTTAAATTTATTTTACATAAGGGAAAATGAGTGCAGGAAGAGAAACAAAGAAAATTTTAATCAGACTTTTTTACTGTAAAATTGTTTAACAACTCAAGCATCAAATTCGCTGAGAGCATAGCTATGACATTTGGTAAGGGAAACAGAATTTTCTGCCAAAAGCCAAATAAAAAACGTTTGCATTTTGAAGGCGCTGACTCATCAGGGAAAGAGCCCCGTGTCTGCAGAGAACTCAAATCTCTGTGTTCAGGCTGGGCACTAATTATTACTGCAACTGCATGGCAAAGGATAAAGCAACCACAGTGAAACATTGAAGAAACTGCAGAGCATTTGCCTCTTTAGAGTATCATGAAATTAAACTTTGTCAGTCTCTAGTGCTTCACAGAGGAAGATCAGTTACTAAGAGGGTGCAAGATAAACTAAATGTTTCAGCTCTGTCTTTTCTTCAGAGGCAACAAAAATGCTGAAGTCCAACTCACAGTGCTCCTTTACTGCTGTGTTGCTAAGCATTTCTCATATTAGACATAACTTAAAGGAGCATCAAAATTTTACACAGTCTACACAAAAGTCACTCTTTCTTCATTCAGGATTCATTTCTATAATACTTGCACTGTCACAAACCAATTGGTGATTCAGCAATTGAGGAAGAATATGACAAGTTAATAGGAAAAGGAACTCTCTGAAACACATGCAAATTATATTAATTAAATACTCATGCTACCCTTATATGAATAATACCTGAAAGCTTGAAAGTAATATATAAATGAGGACTGTGAAAAGAAACACTTCATAGATATCCACTTAATCCTATTCCCCTTGAAGAACCATTTTAGAAACAACAGAATTTCTCTTCTAAAACTTGCTAAATCTTAAGAGGTATAACTGCATCCCCAAGCCTTCTTTGCACTGTGATAGTTTTGAAGCCTGAGATGAGTGTAGCAGGGTAGTTATATGTTTAATACAGTCTGATAGCTTATAGTTCTTCAGTGCTTACTGAATAAGGAAGTGATCATCAGACATGAGTGAATTTTAATAATTAGCAGTGAAATTTTGCCCAAAGGATTAAGAAATCCAGAAATCAGCAGAAAGTACAGCATGAGAGCTATTAAAATGTAATTTAATTTTGGCCACTTTCAAAATAATTTTCCAAACATGCCACATTTAAGACTACACTGAAAATACTTTTTCAAAAAAAGAACTTTTCCCAAAGAAAATGAAGTAAGAACTTGACAAAATACCCCTACATAAGTTTTTAACAAATTCCAAAGGCCTGGAATTCAGGAGAAAACAGGGGTCTTGCACCTACATATTTTTCCAATTTCATCTGGTATTGCAGTATTCACTTCATGGTTACATCTCGGGTAGCTGGGATAGATAAATCCAACACCCCCAAAGAGAAATCAAGGTTAAATTAGCAGGAGACCAAAATCATAAATCAGGAGCAGTTTTGGGAAAGAAAGCTGCACTGGAACTTAAATTTTTAGCAGCAGTTTAGGTTTAGGAGTGTAAACCAGCCACTTATCTCCCACCACTTACCACAGACACTGTAACTGTTTGGAACTTACCCAAATAAATCACTTTTTTTTGGTGGATTGTTCCTTTTGGCAGCACTGATGGGTACCAGCATGTACATGTGAAACTAAGTCTTAATTCTTAGAATACAAATTAAATTAGTCCTCCAGAAAACAGGAATTACTACAGTTCATGTTGCTTTATATATGAATCTCAAAATTCACAGGTCACCTCTGCTTATAGACATTTGCACACATTTTAAAGGAAGAGAGTGTTAAATGCTGAGTAAGAAATGGATCTCAACTTTGTACTTCTAACTACCAAACACCAACTGTATCCATGGGAACTGATGTCTATTCTCTCCTGTAGTTTTGTGCCCTTAAATAATCTGTTTGTTAATGCAGCTGTTCTTGCCGATTAAATTCTCTTCCCTAAAGTTATGAAGAAAATAATGTTTAACCTCTTTTCAAAATATGGGAATACAGCATTTTCTTTTACAGGTCAAACAGTAAGGGAAAAAAAAAACTCACCTTAGGCTTTCTTTTTTTTTCTTTTTTTTTTTTTTACATTATAATCATAAAAGATTGGATTTCTATAAATAAGTGCTTGAACAAAAGCTCAGAAGTGTTCAAGGCCAGGCCTGATGAGGCTTGAACAACCTGGTCTAGCAGCAGGGAGCTGGAACTGGATTATCTCTAAGGTCCCTTCCAACTCAAACCAGTCTGTAATGCTCTGCCTGGCAACACGCAACTGTCAATGACTCCCATGATTTTCTGAGGGAAAAAAATACACAGCTTTTTAAATCTAACTTTAAAATTCCTTATAAAAATACTTTCAATGCCCATATTTCCAACTGAGTAGTGAGCATGACATACTAACGTATCTAGGTATCCTCCCTCATGTAAATATTCTAACAGCTTATTTTATACATAATCACAATGTTTCACTGCTAGGGACAAAGAAAATAACAGAGACTTCACAAGTCAAAAAATTAAGTTTGCAAGGACTTGGTTCAGAACAACTAAAGGAGGCTTCTCTTTCAGGTAACAAGTCATTGAGCTGCAACAGCAATTTCCCAAAGGATGCATTTCCGATGCTAAAAGTTTCCATAGGATGAGGAGAAAACTGGACCTCGAAATTAGCACAAAAGCACAACTACATAAGGTCAGAGAAGCCAGAGCTGGAAAGAGCCAGAGGCCAGCTGAACACTAGGAACATTGTGCATTCACTCGGTTTGTTTCCATTCTCACGCTCTGCTATCTCCTTCAGCAGGACACAGCTCTTAGAAGGACACACACATGCACTCCCGGGAGCAGCAGGAGTCACTTCAGGCGCACCTGGAGCGATCTTCACGGCTGACAACGGCGGGGCAGCCAAGTCCCGGCTGCGCTGCCCCAGGCCGGCACGGGTGGCTGCAGGACAGCAGGAGCCGGCCGCCCAAGGACCACGCAGGCCAGGAGGGTTTCACTGCCGGGAGGAGTATCCCGAACGTGCCCCGCTGGGACACCTGCGCTTCTGTCGCCGCGCCGGCCCCGGGCCGTGACCCGAGGCGGCTCCTGCCACGGCTGCGTCCCGCAGAGGGCCCGGCACGCCGGGCCGAGCCGGAGCGGGCCCGCTACCGCCCCGACCCCTCCGGCCCCGCGCACGGCGGACTCTACCTGAGGCGAGAAGGCGGCGGCAGCGCCCCGGGCGCTCGGAGCTCGGCCCCGCCCGCGCGGCGCCGACCGGCCGCGGCCCTTCCCTTCCTTCCGCCCTTCCTCCGCCCCTCGGCGATGCCGGCAGCGCCCGCTCGGTCCCTCCGCCAGCGCCCGCCGCCGCCTCGGGCCGCTCAGTTCGGCGCCGCCATTTTGTCAGTGTCCCCGCCGCGGAGCCGCCCGGATATGGGCAGATCCCGGCCTGCCCCGCGCGGCTCCTGCCGCTCCCGGATGGAGCGGCGGCGGCTCCCGCCCGCCCCGGCGGGGAGCGGCAGCGCGCTGTAACCCCTGCGCGCCCGTGCGGGGCACCGCACACCGAGCTCAGCTCAGCTCAGCTCAGCCACCCCGCGCTGCCGGGCACGGCTGGCTCCTCACGGGCCAGTGCCGAGCACCACGGACAAATTCCCATTTTCTAATTTTCCCATTTTCTTTTAATAGGGAGAAAGCTCCGCTGAGCCTCGTGTTTCAGCTGACGCCCGAACGATGGACTCGTTACAGACCAACAGGAAGGAAAACCCACCGGTTAGCACTCGGAGTGATCCATTTCATTTCCATCTTTGCGTTTCAAATAAATTTCAAGTAAGCTGCTCTACGGAGCTCATGGGCAGCCCAGCACACCTTGCCCTGCAAAGGGAGCGCGGCCCTGTCCCCGTGCCCCAGCCAGCTCCTGCAGCCAGACACACGGAATGCGCATCAGGTAAGGTGTTCCTGCCACAGCACACCGGCCACTGCGCCGCCGTCAATTCAAGTACGCTCCAGAGTGGGTATGGTGGAAATGCCATGTAACACCTCATAACTAACCTGTTCCTGCCCAAATACAGAGGGTTTTCCATCCTTCATGTTCAATACCCAGCCTCAATCCAAATACGTTCCTGCAAACACATCTATTTGAATTACTTTAGTAAGACAGACCACTACACTTGTGCAAAACTTTTTAATAAAAAGAGAAAGGGTTCGCTGTAACAAAAATCAGGTACAATGCTAATAATAAAATTTAAAACTTTTCAAAGATTTCAATAAACCAGATGTGAATTTCTGACAAAGACTATGTCTCAAGTTTAGAAACTCTTATTCTTACACCTGAAAACACAGCCAACACATCTGTCAATTACAATTTCTTAATTATAAACCCTGCTTTGTTTTTGGGAGATTTACTGGTGCATTATCAAGTTTGAACATGTAGCATCCATGATGAAGCTATGAATAATTCAAAATAGTGTTGCTAGAATGCTTAGATTCCTATAGAACCTTTCACATTTCATAGCTTTAACAGTTTTCCTTCCAACTCATGAACTAACATTAACAGTTATGTTCCCCTATATATATAAAAACTCACCTTAAAAAAAACCCCATCTCTTTCAGGTGACATAAAAAAAATTTCCATGAAGCCCACAGTTTCGCTTTAGAAATGATACTTGAAAAATACCTTTACAGGGAAAAATAAAAATTCAGGGTTTACCTTTTCCTCTGTTTTTATGTGCATGTGTATTATGGACATCACTTTTCAGCAAAGACTTTGCCCTTAGTGACTACTTTCCTGCTTGCCAAAACCAAGCAGGCAGCAGGGAGGAAATGGCATTGTAAGCTTGCTCAGTTACCCATCCTGGAGCATCAAGTGCCAGCTGTCAGAATGTGGGGTACCTCACTTCTTCCACAGCACCAGGACCAAGCTGAGGCCTCTCCCACACATGCCAATAACAGACTAGCAAGTAGCATTAAGAGTTAACCTGACATTTCCCAGTAGTTCAAGCTGATCAATACTTCAAAGGGATACCACAGTCACTTCATGCAAAAAGTTGTCTGTTCACATAAATAGCCTCTGCATCAGTACCGTATACCAGGCACGGTCCTAGGACGTCTAAACTATTCACAGACAAAGTCTGATTTGGAATCAGGTTGGTGATTTCCATGCGGTCTTTGGTCGGATCATTGCTTAGCCAGGCACTTACTACAGACTGGTTAATGGTACTGTGGGAAAGATAGGCAGTGCTTCTTCCTCCTGAAAGAAGGAAGACAAAGAAATAAGTTTTCAATTTCGTTTATATACTCTCAGAATTTAGAGAAACACAGTAGATATTGGTCAGACATAATGGAAATATAATTTTACATTTAATTCAGTTTTCAGAGTAGTCGAGATGTCATTTATTTGGTAAATTAAGGAAAAATAGCTTAAAAATCAAGTACTTGAAATAATTATAAAAATTATCTACCAGCTCTACCCTCAGTTAAGACAAATATATCACAACAGCTATTCACTCATCTCACTGGACAGTGTAAGTACCTTCAAGTTTCTCTGGCCAGACACTAAAGCAAGGGTACAAGAACACAAGTCTGTTTATAGTGCCTTGCTCTATTGGGGGTTTTCAGCTTTGCTTCAATAACACTTCTTCCCTACTGCTCCTCTTCCCCACCTTCCAACAAGCGATATACCTATATTTGACATTTACTTTTTTCCACATAACACTTTACATTCAAGCTGAAGTCTCACACTGTAAGAACCATCATTCAGCATAAGATTAGCAGGTGTCAGAAGTGATGCTAAGGGATTTATGCTTCATATACTTGAAAACATGCAGAATCCAACTTGAATTAGTCATCCTGTAATTTCCAGAAATAAAACTTAACTTCGAATGACAACTTTGAGGCCAAAGGCAGCAGGTGACATCTGAAAGTCTCCCCACTATTGTCTAATGTGGCAAGTACTTAGCAGTCTTTGTGATTAGAATATGAAAATAAATGCTTATATTAAAAGTCAGTATCATAACTTTAAAATCCTGCCATTGTGCAAAAGGATCCAGTTTCATTTATTGGAAGTTCCAATTATTACCCTGAATTATAAATTCATAGTTCTACTATCTCATTAACCTATCAATTATTTTTGTATTCTAAGTTAGTGTAAGTCCCCCAGAGACTCAATAATGTAAGTCAGGCTGCCTCTGTTTCTTTTCTACATATAGATGATTTTTAAGTGAAAAAATAGAGTCTATCTTTGAAATCATAGATGTGCCCCTTCACGGCACACACTGGTCAGAGGGTAGCAGATTAAAAAAACCCAAACCAGACTATGACAAACCCTGCACAACTGTTTGCCATATAAGTAGTTTTCCTCAAGTGCTTATCCAGGAAAAGTGCTTATCTAAGTTTGCTTTCTAAGAAAAAAAAAGCTGCTTTTAACTTTCTGCACTGTGTTATTAATTGGGTAATGTGAGAACACTGACTGGAATGATGTTACCAACTGACAAATTCAGTGCAGATGGACTTCAAACATCTTTACCTTGATGAAGAAAAGATGGTTTTTCAGATACGTTTGCGGAAGTATCCCAGTGCCAAAGAGATCCATCTTCAGAACACGTGAATAAATGATCAGGGTCAGATGGATGGAAGTGAACTTCCCACACTGGAAGTATCAAACAAAATAATTTCAGAACAAGTCTGAAGTACTCTGATCAAAGCATTTGGATAGCATGATATAGACATGTATTTACAAGAACCCATTCCTCCATCAAAAGCTTTCATTTTTAATTGTGTCTGGGTAGGAAGCTCAAAGCCCCATCCTAAGTTATATACTGCAGTTTTCCCTCTGCTGGCAGGGGAAAGGGGGAAAGAAGAAAAAAAAAAAGACCCTATTTTGTTGCATTTTCAGTACCGTGAAAATTGTTGAAGTCTTATCTGAATTCAGGCAACCTGCATGTCATCTTCCCTGCTGTTAAGTTTAAATCCACGCATAGCACGCATTCCTTCTCAGGACAAAATTATTTTGTGTCTAAATACCACAACTACAGAAGACATTTAAGTCAGTAAAATGTAATATCAAGAAATATTTTTACTCCTTTAATTTAAATGTAGCATCAAATCACAACATTTTGAGCATAAAATTGCTGTCTTGTTCACATAGTTGCCAGGAAGTGAGCTATTTCAGCACTGTGGAGACACCAAATGAATGTTGAGTCTCCCCTTCTTCCTCATGTTTTCAAGTTTGTTAGTACCTGCATTCTGCTTTACTCTACTGCCTAACACTGCACCAGCTTCCATGACTGTTTATACACCTACCCTGCTACACACACAGCCATTCTGATCAAATGCATCTAACAGCTCAGTAAATAATTGCTTACTAAGTCTACTTTTAGGTTAAGTTCACTTTTAGATAAAAACAGTCTCCTATACAGAGAAGAGGGCCACATTCTCCAGATGAAAACATGGAGCAGTAGTAGGTATCCTGGGAAGAGTATAGAGATGAAGGCTAGGGATACAGAGTGAGGAAGACCAAGGAGGAGCTGGACCTGAACCTGGCAAGGGATGAAAAGAACAACAAGAAGGCTTTCTACAGGTATGTCAGCGAGAAAAGGAAGGCCCAAGAAGGTGTATGCCCCCCAATAATCAATGCTGGAAAACTGGTCATACTGGACAGGGACAAGGTTGAGCTACTCAACAACTTTCTCATGTCAGTCTTTAATGGCAACCTTTGTTCCCACACCTCTCCAGTGGGTGGGCTACAAGACAGGGTCTGGGGAAGAAAAGTCCTTCCCACTGTACAAGAAGCTCAGGTTCATGACCACCTAAGGAACCTGAATGCACATAAATCTATGAGATGCATCCCAGAGTCCTGAAGGAAATGGATGATGTAGTTGCCAAGCCACTCTCCATGTCTGAAAGGCTATGGCGGTCAGGGGGACTGGAGAAAGGGAAAGATGGGCACAAACCCATGGTTAAGAAGAGTAGAAAGGAAGACCCTGAGAACTACCAACCTGTCAGCCTCAGCTCTGGTCCTGGGAAAAACATGGAACAAATCCTCCTAGAAGCTATACTAAAACACATGAAGGACAAGGGCATGTAGTGACAGGACAAAGGGGAACGGCTTTAAACTGACAGTAGGTTTAGATTAGGTTATTAGGAAGAAATTCTTTACTGTCTGGGTGGTGAGGCACTGGAACAAGTTTTCCAGAGAAGTTGTGAATGCCTCATCCCTGGAAATGGTCAAGGCTAGGTTGCATGGGCCTCTGAGCAACCTGGTCAAGTGGAAAGTGCACCTAACACTTGGCAGGGGAGGCTGGGAGTAAATGAGCTTTAAGGTCTCTACTAACCCAAACCATTCTATGATTCAATGAAGTAGCAAGTATGTGATTGTTTTTTACCACAGTTACAACAACTTATTTTTACAGTAATCAGAAACTTCTCTAAAATGCCACCTTCTTCTCCCCCCTCCATTTCAGATACTTACTTTCTGCTTCATGAGCATTTAACAGGGACACTGGCATAGTACCCTGCCTGATGTCCCATATACTCAGCATTCCATCCTGGCCCCCTGTAGCCACAATATGCTGCTGATTGGGATGCCTATCCACACAGTGCAGTGGAACTCTGTCACCTGCCCTGCAAAGAGGAAAAAACAAAACAACCAAATAACCCAAACACTATTTTTTTATTTAGCTTCTATTTTCCCCTTCTTAATTCCTAATTTGGCATCAGGAGCATTGACAAGTGAGGTACCACTATTGACAGGACCTTCAGTTCCTGTAACATCTGACCACCCCAGGCTGAAGGCACATGACATCTACTGGAAACCAGAGGTATGGCAATAATATGAAGCTACAATCGGGTTCTG